AATCTAATCACAAATTACAAAAAATTTATTTTTACTAAATTAAATATATGTACATACCTTATAGAAATAAGCAAGCAGTACGGTTTTTATACAGTCTATAAAAAAACTCATTTTTAATATATTTTTGATCATTATTGGTAGCATGCTCTTGATCATAATTTTGCATATATGCAGGTAAAAAATGAATTTTTTGAATATGGTGAATACATGAGATTGAATAAATTCGAAGAAATTGTTGATTATTTATTATTTGTTTGTAATATGAGCAGTCTAAAATCAAGTCTTTTGTATTGGTTGCTTGAAGCCATTTTAAGACAAAAAAAATTGCAGATTCATTATTATTTGCTTGATGTTGTAAAATCGCTTATATTTTTTCATATGTAAGGCCTTCACTTTTTTTTTTAATTTCAATTATTTCAGCAATATGAAATTTAAGTTGAGTTGATTTTCTATCATTTCAATAATAGTATATGAAATATAATCAAAAAATTCTAATTTATTATTAAAAAAAGCATTTTGTAAACTAAAATATTCTGAATATGATATATATAAATCATAAAAAAGAGGATGCTAACTGCTTAGCTTTGTCAACCATCCTTCAATGTTTGCTCTTGTTCTTGGCCATTTATTTCATAATACTATATCTATAAAATTTTTTGGTATCAAATTTGAGATAATTTCAATTTTTTCAATATCATCATTGTCGTTAATTTTTAAGTTTTGCTCTGTAGTATATTGTTTGCAGACTTGAATATAATGAAATGTCTGGAGAAATATTTGATAATTTATTTATAGTTGTTGAAAAATAGTAATCTTTGCTACCATCAAATAAGTAAGTTAATGCAAATGAGGTATTATATCACCAAAGGAGATCTAGTTCAATATTTTTGTAATTAATATATAGTACCATATTTTTGTATGTTCGTGTATCATTTCTTTGACTCCAACAGATGTGTTCACAAGAGTTGCAAATGTATGAGCATGTTGTGGCAAATGGACATTTACATTATTAGGTAAGTTTTCAAATATGTCAGGAAAAATCTTTAAAAAACCAATTCGTTCTTTTTCAAACAAACTGCAAAGCTTCTTATAAGTGTCATTTGTCATTGTTGTTGAGAAAGCCAACTTAAGTAGTTTTACTTCAACTACCCAAAGTTCTATTAGTTTAATAATAGCATAATCATTACGAGTAAGCTTATATATATTTTTTAAATATTCAATTATTTCAGCCTTTAAATATGAAGGTGATAAAAAGTAACATAAAATAAATGGTATTAACATTGCCAAGCATAAAGTATCTGAAAATATAAAACTATGATAATAGGTTAGCAGATTTGGCATCTGTGACCATCTTGCTGGTTTTTTAATACTTTTCCAATACTTAAGCCAAGCTACTTCTCTATTAGTATTTAAATATCTAAGAGTTATATCTAGAAAACGTGTAGCTTTACCAGCAAGTGTATGATAAGCATCTTGCAGTGATTGTAAATGTCTGTCCCAATAAAGAGTATCAAGAATTGGCTTTGCACTAAGTCCATATTGACTAGATAGTTGTCGACGAGCATAGTTTGTTTGTTGCTATGCAATTTCATTATATTGTATATTGGTTAAGTGGTGAAAGCTGCATTCACAACAAAGTCAAAGTTGGAGTTTGTTAATTGGCTACTACAGTAGATACAGAACAAGTTCTGCAACCATAATTTGCATTATGTCTAAGCACACTAGCAAGGTCATTACCTTGGGACAAATCGGCTATAATATAGCCAAATCTACCAATAAGCCATATTTCTCCTTCCAAAGTATTTATAATTTTTCCAGATTGTAATTGACGAATATTATCAAGAATTGGTTTAATAAAATCTTTAAATAAAGCCCTAAATGAAACAAAGCCAAGTAAAAAATGATTTTTGAGTAGCTTTCGTAAATCAAGCAGCATATTTCCAATAACTAAATAAACCCCTTCAAATAAATAATATGAATTATGAAATGTTCCAAAATCATCGAAGTAGATATCAAGAAAAACTTTTTTAATAGGCATTGGTCGTGGTGGTAATATTGGAATAGATATATATTCATAAAGAGCTCTGTGCCTTTTAGTAAGGTCACGAATATACTACTGACTATTAAAACTATATAATATTTTAGTTACAAAATATTCATATTCTACTGGTTTATCAAGATCCTTTAACCAAACATTAATTTGAGTAATATTTTTAGGTATAATCAAACACTCTTGTCCTTCAACAAGCCAAAGTT